TTAGTCCATTGTCATCATGGTGGGGAGCATGGTGACACGCAGGCAGTCACGTTGTTGAAGACGTAGCTGAGAGTTTTACATCCAAATCCCCAGTCAGCAGGGAGAGGAAGAGCCACTGGGTCTGTCTTGGGCTTTTAAAAACCCCAAAGCTACCCCCAGTGAAGCACTGTCTCGAATAAGGCCACACCTCCCAATCCTTTTAAGCAGTGCATTCAAATACGTAAGTCTATGGAGGGGGGACATTCTTATTTAAACTACTATACTAGTCTTACGTCAACTTGACACAAGCTAGGGCCATTTAGGAAGAAGGACTCTCAGCTGAAAAAATGCTTTGTTCATTAAGATTGGCTTGTAGAGAGGCTCGATGGCTCAGTAGTTGAGAGCATTGGCTGCCCTTCCAGAGGTCCTGAGTTCAGTTCCCAGAGCCCATGTGGTGGCTCACAGCCACTGTAACTATAGTCCCATGGGATCTGAAGCCCTCTTCTGGTGTGCAGGAAAAAAAACACCCATATACATGAAATAATTAATAACTGAGTGTGGTGGTGTGTGTCTTTATTCCCAGCCCCCAGGAGGCAGAGCAGGCGGATCTCTGTGAGTTCAAGGCCAGCCTGGTCTATGTTCCAGGCCAGCCAGAGCTATCTAGTGAGACTTTGTGACTGGATGTGAGCGCTGTGGGTGGGAGGTTGACCCGTAGGCAAGTCTGTAGTACAGTTCCTTAGCGACTGATGTAGGAGGGCCCTTCCCAGTTGGGGTGGTGTTATGCCTGGGCTGGTGGTCCTGTGGGTATATGAGAAAGCAGAGAGAAGAAGCCAGGAAGAACAAACCAGTAAGCAGCACACCTCCATGGCCTCTGCATCAGCTCCTGCCATGTCTGAGCTCCTGCCCTGCCCTCCCTTGGTGATGGACTATGATGTTGAACGCTAAGATGTAAGAACCTCTTTTCTCCCCAAGTTGCTTTCTGTCACGGTGTTCACCATGGCAATAGCAACCTAACTATAGCAGCGGGGTGGAACTTTTATAAGGTGTCCAGTCTTGCACTACAAAGAAAGGGAGCTTGTTGCTGAGATCAACTAGCCAATGTCTATTGTGCTATATATTTGACTACTGCCTGGAGACACTCTACTAAAAAGACAAAAATTTCAGAGTTGGCCTCACCTCAGATGTTCGTATCTAATTCACAGACATCAGTGTCTCCCTGAGAAGTAACTTTTTTTTTTTTAAACAACCAGAACTGTTCAACAAAGAGATAAGCCAGCTCCTAGGAGTGGCGTGGGATGGAGAAAGAACACGGAACTCCCTGTCATTGGAAGAAGCGAAGGAGCAAGCTGTGGCTATGTTCAAAGTGGGAACTGGTAGGGGATGTGGTTTGCAGCACCAAGCACTGAGCCACAGGGCTCAGGCCAGGTCGTGTAGTCAAGCTGCTGACAAACAAGTCTGAGTGGCTCCTGGGTCTGACTAGACAGAAAGATGCTGCTGTTCCCACAGCATCTAGAGTCACGATTCGGTCATCATCAAGCTAGTTCTCCACCTCTCAACCTCCTGCTAAGCGTGCCAAGAAACCCCAGGTCTCAAGGTACAAAGCTTAGCACGTAGGTGAGGGGCACAGCCTGGGGAAGTGTGCGGCTGGCTGCCCGGGTACAGCATCTCTGGGCCCGTGTGTGTGTCGGCACTTGGTGTAGCCTGTGTGACGGCTGTACTGTAACCACAGAGGAAGTCAGAGCAGGAAGTGTCCCAGCTGTGGCTTATTAGCATTAGGACAAAATTACACAAAAGCAAATTGTTAGCAGACATGTTGCCATAATCTTTAACTGGTGGCAATAAATAGGAGTGATCCTCTTTCAAGTAAATACTAGATTTCCCAAAACCCAGCTTCCAATTGTCCGTGAAGGAATCAAGTGGGATGAGGCTAAATCTCGGAGGGGAAGACACGGAGGGGGCTGGGGCTCCCGCATCCATGCCCGGGAGTGGGGCTGCTGGACAGCTGCTGTTGACTTGGCAGGATGGAAACAGGGATGTTTGTGCCCCTGGACATCTGACCATCTGCTGGATTTCCCTCAGGGGTTCCAAGTCTGGTTCTCTTATGGAACGGAGAATAAAGCCACTTAGCAACCCAGCAGGAAAACTCTTAGTGTGTTTCTGTCTCTCACACACACACACACACAAAAGGCAGAGTTGGTTTTTTTTTTTTTTTTTTGGTTTTGTTTTTTTGGCACCCCTGTTCTTAACAAGATGTTGCAATTGCAATTAAAAAAAAATCTACTCCTTCACAGTCCATGTCTTTATCTCTGATTTAAACAACACCGTGAGCCTGGCCCCACTGGGGAAGGGGGAAGCCATAAGAGATCACATCCCATAGCTTATGTGTAGGAAGACCTCTCTGTTCCCCCGGAAGAGAGCAGAACGTCCTTCGGGACTTTCTGATGATGACAGTGTTCAAATAGAACATTGGGAGTTTCCAGTTTTCTTCAAAGATTCAACAAAACTTTCCTAAAAGAATCTTTTTTTTTTTTTAATTTAAGCAGTTTCAATGTTAAGAAGTATTCTGTAACAACATGCAGATATGAAAAAACAGGTTCTGGCCCTCTAATGGGCAGGGTTGTCACCACAACTTTTATTGTTTTCCTACTAAACGTTTACTTTTGTGTGTTCTGGTTGCTTCTCAAACTCTCCGCCCAGCATCTCTTCCCAAGTTATTAATTTGAACACAGTTTTATCTGAGGAGCCCTCTGTTCCTTCATTTCTACTGAAAGAGAAAAGACATTGACACTGCCGTTGAAAAGAGAGAGCAGGCCCGAGCCTTTCCTGGTAGACACGATTGAGACCTTAGGCAGCTGCTCTCGGCCTGCAGCTCCCCAGGGTGCCCTCTCCTCGGGCATCCAGGTCCTCAGGGTTGGCGTGGCATGTCAGCCACGTGAGAGGAACAAGTCCAGAAACCAGCCTTGTTCTGGTCATCTGGCTGTCCACAGGACAGGCCCCACTACAGTAAGAGGAAACACCTAGTAACAGCCAGGAGGAGGACTAAACTGGGCTTCGTCTCCACATGACAAAGCTGGAAAGATATTTAAGAACATGGTACACTGCCAGCCACTTCCTTAGACTTTCCAGCTCCTGCATCAAGAGACGCGTGCGCACACACGCACGCACGCGCGCACACACACCCCCCCAAGTCTTTTATCTAAAATCTTCACAAAAGGAATAATGTGTTTCATAAAACATTTAAAATGCTTTAGGCAACAGAAGTGTCTCTTGATTTTTTTTCTCCGAGTGTTTAACAGACAAATGTAATTGGAGATGTTTGGAGCATGCGCACTCTTTAATTTGGAGTTATGCAAAATTTGACCATTATTCACCACAACCTGCAGCAAAGCTATGCAGATGGAACAGCAAGTGCGCTATCTGTCAAATGCGAGTTCAAGTCCTTCCCATCTGGGCCAGAAGTGACCGCCACGGTCTGACCTTTAAGGTCTGTTTAGAGGAAATGGCCTGGCATGTTTTACATTTGAGAAGCTATTTAGCTGCCCTGTTTGACAAGGTTTTCGAGAGGGATGAAAATTAATTATGATTGCAGCATTGCTACAATGATGTGGTCAGCTAATTAGATTCCATGCAAAAACAGGCAAGAAGAATTGGTTCCACTGGTTCTTCTGCAGCCTTGCAGCCTTCATGCCAAGAATAATGAAACTGCTTCTTGGTTTCTTAATTTCTAAAAATCTTGGCCAAACCTTAAATGTCTGGGAGTCTGCAGTCGAGCTAATTTAAGGCTTTGTGTGAACTAAGACAGCACCTGACTGGGAGTCCCTGTGTGGGGACACAGCTCCAGTCTCCAGGTAGACTTGAACCAGGTCCTAACTCTCCTTCAAAAGCTCCTTGAGGTTTCTTTGACTTGTTTGGGCATATGTTAACTTGGGGACACCAGGGAGCCACTGGTAAGGGTAATCAGGACATGTGGGAAGCTTACATGTCCCTGGGAGAGGTACCAGGAGTCTACAGGGACAGGGCACAAACGGTTGAGCTGAGCGATTTTTTTTCCAGATCTCCCTGCCTTCACACAGCAGTGATTCTGTCGATAGGAATTATCTGCCGCTCTTCGAGACGAGGACCTAACGTCAGAGCAGCGGCAAGCACCTAGCGCTAGCGATCGGTTCGCAAGGCAGTCTGCTCATTGCTTCTGACACCTTAAAGATTCTCCCCAAGGTCTGATTCAAGGTCATTTTGTCACATACTAAAAATAACAGACATCCAGCGCCTCCGAAACCTGATCAAGTTTCCATTCAGTGGGAAGTTCTGGGACAATCTTCTTCTCAGTCATAATTCAAGTCCAACCACCGCTGTATATGTAGCAAAGCTCTTGCAGTGACCTGCCACACTTCCTCAAACAGGGACCATCAAAGTGGGCCCCGTAGCACAGCAGGGAATCTTTCCTGTGGTCTTTGCCTACATGCTAGCTGATCCATACAGTAGGTGGCTCCATCCAAGAAGCTATACCTATCTTGTTCTGGAGCAGGACATCGGGCTGAGAGCTGAGGGCTCAAAGCCCCTCCAGATCCTTTGCTAGCTGAGACCTCGCTTAGACTGAAACCCACGGGGAGATGCCTTTTCCAATTCACAGTGGCAGTGGCAGACCCCAAGTTACTCTTGACCCCCACCCTCCCCAGATCCACCTTTAAGAAAAAGGATGTGCCCCGGAGTTCTCTAGTCTAAATAAACAAAAGAAAAAGAAAGGACGTGACAAAGAATAGCAGCAAAGAGGTCACCCTTCTGCCCAGTAAACCGTGGGTGGCTCCGTCCCTCTCTGGACACAGCTGCAAAGGGTAGAAAATCAATTTTTTTTTCTCATTATTTCACAGCGAAGAAGTGAAAACCTATTTGTAAATTGAATTAAGCCCAATAAAAGCACGTCTGTGTATTTGTTGAAGTCTAGAAAAATTAGCCACAGACTCAGCTACAGAATGCAACCACGTAACCGGAAATCAGGGCTCTCCTCTTTCACGCGTTCTTGAGACAGTTTTCTTTCCCTTCTTTATTTTCAAGAAGTACCCATAGTGAAATGTCACCGAGATTCTTCCGCAGGCCACCATCTCAGCCCGCAGCAAGAGTCTGGGAAGGAAGGGGCCTTCAAATCTTTGTTTAGGCAGACAGTTGTGTCCAAATTCGTACCTCGTCAGTCAGTCAGTAGTGAATCTGGAACTCTCCAGATCACACTTTTTTTCTCAAGTGGCAATCTGGGGTGCTGACTATGGAATTGGTCCCCTTTCCCTGTGCAGGCCAGGTCTTGATTACAAAAGCCCTAACCCAGCCATGGAGTTTGAACGGGCAGGCCACCTCCGTCTGCCTGCTGAAATCTCATTAGTAGTCTGCCCTCTGGTGGAGCAATGAAGGACTTCAGTAGCTGGGACTAGAAAACATCTTTTTTTCCTCACTTTGAGCAAAAAAACTTCAAGCTTTCCAGATAGTGCAAGGCGAGGCAGTCATCTCGGGGGGCAGTCACCCCAGAAGTGACTCCAGTGAGGCTCCTGCTGGTTGGTCCCCAGAACAGGGAGAGGTTGCTCCTGCCGTGGGCCACACCACAGCACCTCCAAGGACAAGGTCCTTCTCACACTTTGAGGGCCCCCTCGGAGATACACCGTGGGTGACAGCGTTCAGTTATCCACTCTGTCATGACACAAATAGCACCTATAAAGAGTGAACAGCATGTCAGGGACACTAAATGTAATTGGCTTTTTGTGATTTTTTTTTTTTTCTGGCAAATCAATAATACAGTTTAGCCTTTGAAAGGGGCCGGCCATCTGGGGTGTTAGAAAAGGCAAAGACGCACACATTTCATAAAAAGACGAAGTCTCTGTGGATGTTGCTTTTGAGAAGACGTTGTGACGATGGCTGGGTGCAGGTCAGGCAGAAGATGATGCTGAGGTCTGGGGCTCTGCTTCCGACTCCACGAACTTCAGAACTTAGCCTGCTTCAGCTTCTCGATGTGATAGCAGAGTTTGAGAGCGGGTCCCAGCTTCAGTCCCAGGTATTTCATGACCATGTCACTCCTCAGCAACAGCAAGGCATGGCCGTCAATCTCCTGGGGGGCGGGGGCGGGGAAAGAAAACCCAGAGGCAGTTAGAGCAGCCAAGTGGCAGCTGTGGTCAAGCTGCACTAAGCGGGCAGCTTAAGGGCAGGTAAGTCGGTGAGAGAGCACGTGCTTTTGGTTCCCGGAGAACCACTGGGAACAACTAAAGCAGACTGTGATGCTCTCCTCTTCCTGTTCCTCCAGGAAGTCAGTTGCTACCGGGTACCTTTCAGATTCCCGACTGCTCCCGACTGCAGGAGTCTGAAATAACTCCACCTACATTCCTGCTATCCCGTGGATGATATTTTTTGTCATCCAACTAAATCCATCCACAGGCAGGTCAGCCCGAGGGGACCCCGACTGGTCTCCTGGCTTTAAAGAGGATCACGAAGCTGGGAAGGGCAAGCAGATTGCCCTTAAAATCCAAAACTGTATCTTTGCAAACACCTGGATCTCAGCCCGTGGAAACCCTGGCGAAGCTCCTACCTGACCCGCAGAAATGAAGACAGGCAAAGCCCATTGTCTTAAGGCCCTGAATTTATACAATTTGTTACACCATCAATCCAAAATTAATACAGTAAGCTGAGCAAGTAACATTAATTCCTACCTTTCTCCCTACTTATCATCTTATATATTTCAGAAGTAGCTAAATGATTTCAACATTTATAAGAAGGTTATCTATATGACTGAGGCCTCATGTAAATTTATGTGTATTTTCTCATTTAACCCTCTAAGCCAGTGGTTCTCAACTTGTGGGGTCAAATGACCCTTTCACAGGGGTTGCCTAAGATGAACTGGAAAACACAGATATTTACATTATGATTCATAACAGTAGCAAAATTACAGTTATGAATGAAAAATATTATGAACCATAATATTATGGTTGGGGGTCACAACCATATTAAAGGGTCACAGCGGTAGGAAGGTTGAGAACCACTGCTCTAAGCAGTAAGAACAGGCTGGATCACAGTTTGCCTGGAGTATTGCAGGTATGCTACAAATGACTGTCAGATGCATGCAGATTGGGTGGGTGGATGGGTGGATAGATGGACGGGTAGATGGATGGATGGATGGCTAGAGGAATGGATGGGTCGGGGATGAGTGGGTAGGTAGGTGGGTGGATTGATTGGATAGATGGATGGGTAGATGAAAGTTGGGTGGATGAGGGGTGTGTGGGTAGGTGGGTGGGTGGGTGGATGGGTGGGTAGATGGACGGGTAGATGCATTGATGGGTGGATGGATGGATGGATGGATGGGTAGATGGAGGGTGGGGGATGAGTGGGTAGGTGAGAGGGTGGGTGGATGGGTGGGTAGATGGATGGATGGGTAGGTAGATGTATGGGTAGATGGATGGATGGATCGATCGATGGATAAGTAGAGGGATGGATGGGTAGATGGAGGGAGGGGGTGGGTAGATGAATGGGTGGATGGATGGATGGATGGATGGATGGATGGGCAGAAAAGCAGTTAAGGCCCAAGAGAGAGAACAGAAGAGAAAAATATCCCTTAAAAACACAAAGCTGGTGGTTGCTCTGCTCTGATAAGCCCATGGCTGCCTCTGTCTCTTATCCCTGGCTCTCTCAAGACCGATCGCCAGCATTTGGGGGATCCTGAACTCCTCTCTCCTTCCACACACCCATTTCCTGGCCCTCCCTCCAGACCCACTACTTCCATACATGCTTTCTGAAGAGGTCCACATGAGGCCCCAGAGCCTGAGGGTCAGCGTCTTTCACAAACCGAACCACGTCCTCCACGGTCCAGGTAGAAGGGTTTCTGCTGCTTGGTCGCCTGGTGTCCTGCACCTCTGGAGAGGGGCTCGAGGCTATAAGGAGTGAGCAGAGAAGGGGTAACCATGAGCCAGTGAAACTCAGTGCTCACCTGGTGCTGCCTACTTGGCACAGGCACCCCTAGCTGGCCTGGGAGGAGTCTGTAGTGCTCGGAAGTCCACAGCATGGCCGAGTGACCCTGTGACATATGAATCCTACCAGAGGCTGCTCAGTAAGGAGCAAGGGGCATAGGAAAACAGCTGCTCTGTGCCATGCTGTGCAGGGAGGGAAGTTTTGGAAAAGCTTTTGTCCTTCACAAACAGATTCAGATAAAGTTTTCCAGACCTTCTGTCCAGGGCTCTGTCTGCTGGGGTCTGTCCTCAGGTCTGCTATAGCCGGGTATTGGTGACTGGGGCTGGTGAGCTGAGAGCTAAGTGTTAGTAAAATGGGCCTCTGCCCGCTATGGGACCAAGCGATGCTGGGCCCTCTCTGGGTCTTCTGGAGATGGCAGGGGACCATGTGTTGGTGCCTTCCGTTTTGGACTTTGCAGAATGGCTAATCTGTCATTTTACCTCCAGCGATCCTGGAGGGTACATCTATATCTGCTCTCAGAGGAAGACGAGGTTACCCTACTGCCTCCTTTGTCCCCAGTGCTGGGTTCTTCTGAGTCCTTAGGAGGATGCCTCTCCTGCTGGCCCTTCTCCCTGCTGAATCTTTGGTTAACTCACGCTGCTAACAGTGCGGCTAATCTGTATTGTCTGCAAGACTGAATTTAGAATCACCCAGGAGACGCACCTCTGGGAAGCATTTCCAGAGAGAAGGGAAGGAAGACACCCCGGGGTGTGGGTGGCTCCACCCAGAGGCTGGGGTCTCAGACTGACTGGGGACTGGTGGGGAAAGCCAGTGTGCTGTCTAGTTTTATGTGAATTTGATTGCTAGAGTCATTTTGGAAGAAGGGACCTCAATTGAGAACATGCGTCCACCGGATAGGCTGTAGACAAGCCTGTGGTGCATTGTCTTGATTGATGTTGATGAGGAGGGCCCAGCTGGCTCACTGTGGGTAGTGCCACTCCCGGGTTGGTGGTCCTCGGTGCTATAAGAAAGCAGACCAAGTAAGCCAGTAGGCAGCGCTTCTCCATGGTTGCGGTAGCAGTTTCTTTCTCCAGGTTCCTGCCTTGCGTGCCTGTCAATATTATCCTGGATGATGGACCACGGGCTGTGAGATGAATTAAACCCTTCCCCCCTTCCAAGCTGCTTTAGGCCATGGTGTTTTATCACAGCAATGGGAACCCTAGCTATGAGCTAGGTCAGCATCAGCATTCCCTCTCTCTGCTTTCTGGTCCACCCAGAACGGAGCACACTCCACTGCCCCACCTCATGCAACTTCTGCTTCCAGGCCCGATGTGTGATATGGAGCTATACCCCCAAACTGTGAGCTGACATAGGTCCTGTCTCTCTTTAGCTATTTCTTGTCAATTATTCGTTCACAGGAATGAGAAAAGTAAGAAATACACCCACACACCTATCCCCTGAAGCAATTTCCCCATGGGTTTCTTTGCTTCTGCCCTTTTCTATCTAGCGTGGCTGGCACTGCCTCAGGCTGTCACTGAGATCAAGATGTGTCTGTAGAAAGCTGCCACTCAGGTCCCTCTGAGTCCCCATTGCCCAAGCCAAGGACTGTATTGTGATTCTGTAGTACCTTTCCTTCTTAGATGCCGAGGAAGGACTTTGGGCTGGGGGACCTACAGACAAACCCTGGGGCTTCCCTGTGTTTGATTAGACCACAATTTATCTTAGATCATGGCAGCATTCTCTAGTCAGAGAGGCTGGTTATGGGTACTGAACTGAGCAAGCACTAGGCCCTCTGGTCAACCTCTCGCAGGTATTCCCCAGAACACCCACACATCCACCTGGGCACACTGATTATGGCCCGCTTTCCTATTGCTTGCCTGTTTACCCTCCTCCTTCCCACTGATATCCCATCAACCATCAAAGACCCGGGATTAGGAGCTGGGAAGATGGCTCAGTGGCTAAAACACTTGCCATACAAGCATAAGAACCTGAGTTTGAATCCCCCAAAACTCTCATAAAAGTAAGATGCATAGCAAAAGTTTCTGTAGTCCCAGGACTCCTAAAAGAAAGGAAGAGGTGGGGGCCAGAAGACTCCCTGGAAGCCTGTGAGGCAGCTGGCCTAGTGTACATGGCAGAAAAGCAGCAAGGAGACCCTGGCTTGGACAAGGTGGGAAGGCAAGGACCTAACACCCAAGGTTGTCTTTGAACCTCCGCATGCGTACAATGGCACACATAGAGTGTCATTCACACACAAATGTATGGGTACATGACATAGCCACATGCATACACATACACACAAATACAATGATAGAGACAGTGAGAGAGACAGACAGACACACACACACAGAGACAGACAGAGAGAGAGAGAAAGAGAGACAGAGAGACAGACACAGAGAGACAGACAGACAGACACAGAGAGAAAAGAGAGCAGAGAGACAGACACAGAGAGAGAGACAGACACAGAGACAGAGAGACAGACGGAGAGAGAGACAGACAGACACACACACAGAGAAAGAGAGAGAGACAGATAGACAGACACAGAGAGAGACAGACAGACACACACAGAGACAGACAGACAGAACCTGAAGCTCAGAGACCATTATCAGGTCCCTTGTGGACACCATGGCCATCTTTCTTACTATCACCTGCCTCCCCATCTGCCCTCGGGCTCTTATTTCTCTTCTCTTAGGATGCTTCCTTTCAGAACCATCACTCATGTACTTTTCTGTAACCTTTAGATTTTAATTCCCTGAGAATCCTCCATGTTCATTTCACAATCATGTGCCAAACACTTGCTCCCCTGACTTGGTCTTGGGAGAGGTTTTTGGTGAACGATACAACCCAAATCCTCTCATTACAGGGTCATATATTACATTGACCCCTCCACAGCTGTGCAGACAATAAATAGACTCGGAGCGTGGATTTGATGACTGTGACCTGGATCGATATGTTTTGCAGAAATATGCTAGCTTTGTGTAAGTGATCCGTGACACCACTTCAAGGCTAGAAAAAAGGCCAGGATTCTGAACAAACAGCAGTATCCCTACAGGATAATTCCGGAAGTGGAGAAGCCAGTGCCTTCTCTGAGTCTTAAGAGGAAGCCATTTTCTTCCATGCTTCCCCTCCCTCTTTTGCTGAGCCTGAGAAGTACCTAGCGCTCATGTACTGAGACAAGCAAACCACCACATTTCTGAATCTGTGCTAGCTGAAAACTGGATTTACTTTGACGTTTTTTTCCCCTCTGACCTTTCCCCGTTGGACCTGGAAGGGTCCCATAAGGAGGTTTGGTACCAGGCATCTCACTGAGAAACGGTTAATGCTCTCCAGAGCCTTCCAATACTGATGCACACTAGTGAAAGATAATTTTTTTTTTCTCCATTTAAAGACATCTGCACTCAACATGGGGCTGAAGAATCACAGGAATCACATCTGTCTTCAGGGCCCGCCCACGGGAGCATGGCTGTTAATCAGGGTGGTAATGGATGTCCTGACTACAAAGGCAGCAAGTCTTTAGTCCGAGAATGATTCTGAAGTGATGAGAGCAGAGGTCAAATCTAATTTCCTAGACTTGGCAGGAAGGAGGGGAAGTCCAGCCCACTGATAAGATCCTGTGCTTGGTCCTGAGGTCCCATGAGCTAGGTCAGGAACAGCAGCCACTGTCTGCAGCTGAGCAGAGGGCTCCTGTCTTTGAGGAGGGCGCTCTCAGGGAAGGCTGTAGAGAGCAGACATTGAGGCAAATGTTCTCCATGCTCAGGATTGGTGCCAACTGTGGACATTTCCCCGCTTTTCAGGATGGTGGAAGAGCAGCCAGGCTAGCTTAGGAGTCTTTCTGAGGGCCCTTTTAGTAACACAAGACAGAACATCAGGTCACCTAAGACAGTGCTCAAGAGTTGCTCCTCGTCAAAGCACATAAAGTCTCGCTGGAGGAGGAAGACGGAACTTTCCAGCAATGGGTTTGCAAAGTCTGGGCAGGTCTGTACTCACAGAGAAAAATCAACACACCACCACATCCTGCTCCAGCTACTGGGAAAGTGTCAGAAAGACTTATGTGTCCAGTCCGACTCAGTCAGAGTAGGAAGATGTGACAGATCAGCCATCAGCCAGGATGGACTGAATGAATCGAGCTCCTGTGTGAACAGAGCATGCGCAACACTCGCTACCCGCTGTGTTCTCTAGCGCTTGCGGAAAGCAGTGCTTGGTCAGGCTGCTTCCTGTGGGTTGTGGAGATGTGAAAAGTGAGACCCACTGGTGAATGGGTACATAATTAAATCTTGTTGCTCCTGAAGCCAAATTCATGGTTAACAGAAAAATAGACCACCGGCAGACTCAGTGTTGAAAAGCAATCCCCCGCCCCTTCCGAAGTGCAGGTACCGCATCTGCGGATCTCTTTCTGGCTTGTGCACTCCCACGAGCACACAGATAATTGGTCTTTGCGCATTTATAATTCAGGGGAAACTTTAGCTAACAGTGTGGGGGCGTGGAACAAGCGAGTGATGAGCCAGGACGAGCCAGGAGCCAGAGCTCCTTATCTACCACAGCTGTGTCCAGGAGCGCAGGAGAGGTGTGTGGCAGGATGCGCATGCTCTGTCCAAAGTCAGGCAGCGCCTGACCCAGTGTACCACGGGTTGCTGACACTGACACCTCTGCAGGCCTCAGGTGTGTGTCTAAGGCTATGCAGAGTCCAGGCTAGCCCACAATCTATGCAGAATCAGGTAGGCTGGAACAATGTTGTCTCATTCGCTTTCAATGACACAAGAGAAGGAGCCCCAGTGCCTCCTTAGCTTTTAATCGGGTTTTTCTATTAATCCTTCAAGACCAGCTGCCCTGCCAACATGACAGAAGATGCCCCTGGAGACCAGCAGGCCGGGCTGGGCAGCATTCCTTCTCAGCCGGCAGCTGACGCTGTAGCCTCCACCCTCTGGCCTTGACAAGCAATGCGAGCTCTGCCAGGAGCCTCAGGACACCTCTCCTTCATGGGGCTCAAATGTCACTTCTCATGTCAGTGGGTTCCATCACACCTCCCTGGAGTCTTTCCTGACTCCCAAGGTGAGAGGGTCCAGCACCCCCCTTCCAACACTGTGACAGCAGCCTCCATTCAGTACTGTCTCAGCAACCCCCCCATCCAGTACTGTCTCAGCAACCCCCCAATACTGTCTCAGTAACCCCCCATCCAGTACTGTCTCAGCAACCCCCCAATACTGTCTCAGCAACCCCCCATCCAGTACTGTCTCAGCAACCCCCCATCCAGTACTGTCTCAGCACCCCCCCCATCCAGTACTGTCTCAGCAACCCCCCAATACTGTCTCAGTAACCCCCCAATACTGTCTCAGCAACCCCCCAATACTGTCTCAGCAACCCCCCTCCCAATACTGTCACATAGGTCACACTTTCCACCTCCAACAATCACAATAGCGTGCTAAGGTCCATCTCTCTACAATGGGATCCTTCTGCCCAGTTCACGGCACCATCCTCAGACCTGAGAAGAACCCCTGCCCCGGTGCCCAGTGGACATCTGCTGACCAGAACACCCAGTCCCTTAGCTGTTTACCAGTCATCTTGGGTAGCAAGCATCCAATAGGATAAAGTTATAAACGTCAACATTAGCCCCAAAGCTATTGGCATTCTTCTTCTCGGTCATCTCATAAACGTCCAGTAGACGATGCCCCTAAATACCACCACCTCCAGCACATTCCCCTGCTTAAGAATACGTGGTTTACAATCACTGTAAGTGAAGCCCCATCTGCCTGACACGGACCCCACACCATCAGGTGGGATTTCCCGCATCATCCCAGCCCCAACTCCTTTCTCTCCACAATGAGGAAGCCCTTTCTTGCCTCTGCAGGTACCAGCCCTCACATGAGGCCCTCGTCCTCATCATTTCTCTAGCAAAACCATCTCTGCTCCTCACTGACAGAGCATCCCTTAAAAGCCGACTCCAGCGCACAGGGAAAGTTTGCACTCTAACAACAATGTCAGATTTATTTTGTTTCTGACCCTACATCTTGGCGCTGCCTGGGAATTCCATAGCCCATTCAGGAAGCTTTTGTTATCTTTACAGCCCTTTGTAGCTCTGGCTGATTGTATCTGGGATGAGAGACTGAAGCTCCCAAATATTCACCTGAGATTCAGTTCAAACCCCAGGGAAACCACAGCCTGCGCTGCACCTCGGTGGCATTGTCAGGCACTGGTGGCGGCTGGCACTGAGTCCAGCTCCAGGGGCAGCAGGAGGCTGGGCTAAGGCTTCACATCAGAGGGAAAGGCAGCTGAGAACCAGCCACCTCATCCCTCCCTCCCCTCCTGCCTGCAGTCTGGTGCAGCTCTCCAGACTCTGTGGTTTCAAACCATTGTGATTAGTAGCTAGGGAGAAAATCCATTTCTAGGTTTCTTCCAGGGTTTATGAGCTAGGTCAAACCCATTGAAGAGAAACAGTTCCTTGATGCCAACGGATTTCACCTGGGATGTAATTTCAGAGGAACGTCAGACAGTCCTCGGGAGAGGAAAGGCTTTAGCAGAGAGAAGAGGAGATAGTAGGAGCCGCAGTAGGGTGCAGGCTGGCGGGTGAGTGAGGATGGGTAGGGAGGCTGAGGCTTTCCCTCTGCCTTGGGTTCTGCGCTCAGCTCAGCATCCTGAACCACCATGGTCGTTAGGCAAGTTTGCTTCAAACAAAGCAACTGTGGGGAGGCCCTTGATAAAGAGTTGCAGTGGAGTTGGATTCCTGTCCACTTTCACCCTCTTCTTCATCCCCTTCCACATCAGAAGGGACCCCAAGAAACCCTGCAAGCAGAGATCCTGGGGTGTTTGGATATACCCAAAACTTTGGAGTTAGCCACCTCAGTTTGGTTCACAGCTGACAGACCTCTTGGTCCACATTCGCTGGAACTGAACCCGGTAACACAGCCTAGGAGCACCATATTATACCATGATAAGTCCTAAGTCCAGTAGAAATTGGTCCATGGTTGAGGCCCGCTAAGTGAAAGTCTAGCACAAGCCTCCTTTTGCTTGGACTGTCAGGGATTCAAATACACGTGACACCTCCACAAACCTGAGGTCATGGTTCCTCTAGTGTGACAGAGTAACACTTGAGAGAATAAAGTACCAGGGGAAGAAAAACAGAGAACGCAGCATTCTTCATAAGGACGTGTTGCTCACACTGCTAGCTGCCTGCACAACCCCCTCCCACCCCTGCTGCTTCTTTATAACAAGTCCCTGATGTCCACCTGGAATTCAAACTACATTTCCCAGCTTCTTTTGCAGCTATTGCCCATGTGGCTCAGTTCTAGAAAATGAGATATAGCAGAAAGGGAAAGTTCTTTCAGAGACACAAGGCACAACCCTCTGCCCCCTTTCTCCCACCTACCTCCCCCTCTCTCTACTGAGACGGCACGGCTGAGCTGTGGCTGAGCAGTGGCTGAGCGGTGGCTGAGCGGTGGCTGAGCGGCTGGCTCCCGTATTTCCACTGTCCCTTTAGCGCCCTGCAGGGGCACCATTAGTGGAGTCCTTACACTGAAAAGTTCTGCAGTTATAGAGTGAATCAATTCATTGTTCTGCCTTTTAGAGCCACCTCTTCCTCAAAGGGTCCCTGCTGATCCTTCCATCCATGGCCAGCAGAGGCCCATCTGGGGCTTGCTTGTCTGGGATGGGTGAAGCTATCTGAGGGAAGTGTGCAGGGGATCGCGAACCATACAAAACAGCTCACGTGTATGACTCCTGGCAGCCACTGGAAGAGGGATCTGGACCTAGAGAAGAGACAGCCAGCCCAGTGAGGGTGACAAAGGAGTAAGCTGAAGATCCCCTGACTCTGGCCTCGGGTCCCCTTCAGCAGTTTCAGTTGTGGCTCCCCACAGCTGTGGTCGGTAGAGGGATTTATTCACAAATCTGTGGTATTAGTATTTATTAACCACTTACTATGGCCATAGATAGGCCTTCTACTAAAGCTACATGCAAATGTGTTTAACCTTCCCTGTGGTTCTATGAGGGAGGGGTGGCTGGTACAATCACTTTAATTTCTCAGGGAAGGAAACAGAAACACAGAGAAACCAGGGCTAAAAAGGGCCATCCAGTCCAGTTAGAGGACAGCAAACCCACAATTCCAGACTGCTTCATCCACAAAATTATCCATCCTGCTCCATAACTTCTAATCCATTAATGAAATCCCAAAGCTTGAGAATGACTTTGTGAAGCGGGGGTGTCCAGTCCTGTGACATTGAAATATAATGTCATGTGAACATGCTACACATGTTACAGGGTAACCTCATTGTTACCCTGGTTACAGGAGGCCCACAGGCTGCAGGCTGGGCCCACCTGTTGTAAGGCATCTACCAGAATGGCCTCTGGTGCAGGAGAATTGTCTGTAGTCTGTCAATCATGTTTTAAATAAATGCTGATTGGCCAGGCAGGAAGTATAGGTGGGTCAACCAGACAGGAAGTAGAGGCGGGGTGATGAGAACAGGAGTATTCTGGGAAGCAGGAAGCTCCCTCTGCAGTCCTGCCCAGACCCCGGAAGAAGCAAGATGTAATATATCCAGCTGAGAAAGGTACCGAGCCATGTGGTTAACATAGATAAGAATAATGGGTTAATATAAGCTACAAGAGCTAATAAGTAGCCTGAACTAATGGGCCAATCAGTTTTATAACTTATGGAGATCTCTGTGTGATTTTCTTTGTGGCTTGCCGTCTGTGGGGAACTGGGCAGGACATAAACCCCAACAAGCCAGCCCTCATGTCACAGGCCTCCACGTAGTTCCTAGAGTCCCACGTCCCTTTGAGCACTTTCGTGTATTACTTTTCTCTGTGAGGAACAGGAGGGCTGAATGACCTGCACTTTGTCTTTTCTGCTTTCTCCAGTAAACTTCCGTCATGGATGATTTAATCAATCTCTCACTATGCAAAAGACAATTTTTGCCCAAGTCTGCTGCTGTTTTCTTCTGGGCACAGAGCTGGGCTCCCCTGGCTACGTAGGATGCAATGACCTAATCTCTCCCAGCTAAGTGGGATGTAATGACCTAATCTTGCCAATGGATCATGAGTGGGATCCATGCCCATCCCATCCAGGGCATCACATGTGTCCTCCCCACTCCCGTCCACTAGATGCAGGGCATGGTGGGGACACAAGATGAACAGAGCAGGGGCCCTGCTTTGAGAGGGAGAACCACCCCTTGGTGTCTTGAACTAAGCTGTAATCTATTAATCATTCCTACCTAATATGCCATTTTCATCATTTATGATCAAAGAATTGAGACTGACTGCTTACAGGAATGACAAAAATCCAAGGAGCTTGTGGAAAGTTCTTGTTTCCAGAAGAGTCATGTTCATATCACTGTACTATAATCCCCTCCCCACCTCTCAGCGCCTCCCCCCCCCCGCCCATCTCCCACCCCATGCTGTGTCTCCAGGGCAAGGGTGGAAGCCATTCCACCCCCAGGAAGCCAGGCCATGTGTTACGTTACCACATCTGTTTCCTTCGCCTTCGTTCCTCTTGGGGCTGGAGGCCGGGAACCTCAGTCCAGGTGTCGATGGCCCTCCCAAGGGCACAGGGTTGGTACGGGAACTGCTGGTGGTAGTGGCAGGGCCTCCTCCAAGGTGGCTGTCTCCAGAATTCAGTCTCTTGTAGTACTGGGAGGAAGAGTGGGCCAAGGAGCCCCGGTGGCTAAAGGCTGCGGAGGAGGTATCCATGCTGTAGCGGTCCATGCCCACAGGGTTGGCCAGACACTCTTCAGCAGTGGCCGCCTGGGCTGCAAAGGAAGGATGCAGGGAAGAGAGATGAGAGGACCATCCAGGGAGCCCACCAAGCTGCAGTCATGACAAACCCTGCTCCAACACAGTTGCTGTTACCAGTGAGCTTATGCAAAGAGGAGAAACGAACACAGAATAGTCCAGAGAGCACTGGGAGCAGATTGAGGTCTTGCCTCACCAGAGAGGAAACAAAGATGGGTTCTTCCATGTTTAGAAGGAACAGTGGCCATCTTGGCCCTCAATCACTTGAAAATAAACAACAAGAAAAGAATCAATGGTTCTGCTTGTGAATGTGTGTGTGTGTGTGTAGGTGTGTGCATGTGTATGTGTAGGTATGTGTGTAAAGGTATGTGTGTGTGTTAGGATGTGTAGGGTGTGTGTGTGTGTGTGTGTGTGTGTGTGTGTGTGTGTGTGTGTAAAGGTCCAGATACATCACGGAGATAAAAATAAAAAGGAAACCATTCTAGCCCCACCCCCACCTAGTCAAAACCATATCTTTTTAGCTTCATCAATAATTGTGGATTAAACATCACCAAACCTGATCCTGATATTCCAAAAGAAACACAACCAATCACAAAAAGTGCTCCAGGATTGGCAATGAAGGAAGACAAGACACAGACATCTTAACCATGTCCACATTCCTCCTTCAGGAAGATAACTAAAATTTGATATTATTAGGGCAAGAAGCTGGTCGTACCACTGGGGACTTCCATGGAGACTGCCCGAAAAGAAAAGTCATCATGACTTAAGACCACAGCAGTAACTTAGAGGTAAATATTGTAGGTGCAAAAATGTCTGTTTTAGGGCTGGAGAGATGATGGCCCAGCAGTTAAGAGCACTTGCTTCTCTCCCAGAGGACAAGGGCTCGATTCTTAGTACCTGTATATTGGCACACAATTGTCTGTAGCTCTAGGTCCAAGGGATCCAATGCCCTCTTCTGGCCTCTGAAGGAACCAGGCACGCATGGAATGCACAGACATACATGCAGGCAAATAACCCGTACACATAAAATAAAATAAACCTTACATTGTAGAGGATGAACAATTTCTTATAAATAACCATTCACCTTAAGACAGTAAAACTCAGCAAATTAAATGTAAAGCAAGTGGATAGAGATTTGAACAGAAATTAATCTACTAGAAAATCACTAGGAAATGAGAGCAACGCTAGCAAAAGCTGGTTCTTTAGAAACAGTAACACATTAACACACCTTTAGACGACCTGGCAAAAGTATAGGCAAGGCAGATCGCTAGACTCGGAAATAAACAGATATTTCCCTCAGCCTTACAGGGATGAGAAAAGTCAATGCATGTTATAAATGACCATAAATAATTAGATAATTTGAATGAAAAGGCAAATTACTGGAGCTGACTCAAGGAACGATCGTCTGTATAGCATAGACCTGTAGCAAGAGGATGAATTAGCAATTTTAAAAATAACAACAAAGGAAGAGAAAGCACAAATGATTTATAGGCAAACTCTACCAAACATTTCAAGATAAAAATACAGATTTTCACAAATTCTCCCCAAAAAGTAAAAGAGGAGAGAACACTTTCCGACTCACTGTCACTTTAAGACCAAATCCAGACAGACAGCGTAGGAGAGTGAATGAAGAAAATTGCAGGCAATAGGCTCCTGATCACAAGGACGCAGAAAGCCCTCCCCCCAGCACTTACAAGACTGAACTCGATGACTTTCAGGAAGATACAACAACCAAGGAGAAATTGAGAGGAAATCAATATACCATATTGATGGAACACAAAAGTCCAAAGGCTACCTGACCATCTCAAAAGATGCAGAAAAACACGGGACAAAACCGTGTACCTTCTCACGATAAGTTTCAGGCAGTAAGCCAGGACAGAAGGAGATTTCCTCAACAAAGGCTCTTTGAAAGTCCACAGGGGACACTATGGTTTACAGGGAGAGTTGGGACACTGTGCTCTGTGGCCAGCATGGCAGAAATTTTGCTAAGAAAAAGCAAGGACAGTCTTCCAGATAGGAAAAGGAAGAAAAATGGCCACCGTGCATACAAAGGCCACAAGAACCCAGTTTTAAAATTACTGGAACTAGTAAATTATCAGCAAGGTTGGAAGATGCAAAATCAATACACAAAATCACTTGTCTTTCTTATATACTTCCATTGAACAGTCCTAAGATTAAATGAAGAAAGCAACTCCATACAATAAGATTAAAAACAGTGAAACACTTCAAAACAAATCGAACACAAGAAATTTCAATTTCTGTTCTAGAAAAAAATGCGCAAGACTGTTGAAGAAGATGCAGATGAATGGTGAAAATATCATATTCCTAGATTATGTTATCATTACGGTGGTAATACACTAAAAATGTTCAACGACACCAACACAGTCCCTGTGAGAATCCCCACTAACTTCTTTATTGTAATTAACACACCTAGAATAATTGTCATGGGCTGGAGAGATGGCTCAGCAGTTAAGAGCACTGCCTGCTCTTTCAAAGATACTGAGTTCAATTCTTGGCAACCACATGGTGGCTCACAACCATCTGTAATGAGATCTGGTGCCGTCTTGAGGAAGAAACCTGGTCAGCTGTCCTCATCAACTTAGACCATGAAACCCAACATGGACAAGTTCAACAGAGCCACCAAATACGGGTTGCCCATGCATGCTTCAGCACTGCGAGGGCATAAACTTCATTTTAGATCATTCAAGGTCAAGGAGAAATATTACCAGCCTAACACACTCAAGGCCTCCGTATCACAGAGCTCCCCCAAGACAGACAATAAAAAGTGCTGCAAAGAAATTAGAACTCTCATATATATAAGTAAAAAGTAGCCCAGCCACTTTGGAAAACAGACACATAAGGCAAAATTACCACATGACTTAGAAGCTGCACTGGGCGTGTGTGTAAAGACAATAAAAACATTTGTCCACACAAAAACTTGTGCACGAGTGTTTACAGGGGTACTCTTCAAAGACAGAAGCAACCGAAGTGTCTGCTAGCCGATGGATGGATCACACCTATAAACGTGACTGTCTCCACACAGGAAGAGCGAAGCGCCGCTGAGGCCCGCTACAGCACAGCTACCCCCGCCCCCCAAGCCTGGTGCTCAGGGTAAGAAGGTTTCCACAAAGCATCACAGTCAGTGATCCCACTAACAGGAGCGTTTGAGACAAGCATCTCCATAGAAGCAAAAAAGAGACTCATGGCTGTTTAGGGCTTGTGGTTTGGGGAAGAAGGTGGTCCCTAAAGAGTACGTGCTCTCTTCTTGGGGTGATGACGATATCCCACACTTGGCCAGGGTAACAGATGCCTTAAGAGGATGGATTTGGTGACACATGGATTAAATCCCAATATAGCTATGTTTGAAGAGGGGACAGTGACTCGCAGACTGGAAGCTGTGGTCAAACTCTTAAGAGCTTTGCGGGCGGTCAACTTTGACCGCACTGTCCTGGGCACAAGAGTGTAGAAGAGTGTAAATGTACCCGTGTCTGACCACGTGCTGCAAGGTGTTCTCTGGGAGCTGGAGCTCTGCCTCTCCACCCTGACTAAGAAGGAACATTCACACCCACTGAGCACGTCCTACATGCCAGCTCCGCTCCAATACCAGCAAGCTGAAAAGCAGCATACCTCCCCTTGATTGGGAAGTGCTCATAGCCGGTCCTTCCCTCCTTGTCCCCAGTGGGAGGTGCTTCAGTGTCCACCAAGAAGTGGCAAGAGTTTCTTCCATGGAGCTTGGCATAGAGGCGAGCTTGAGAAAGTTTACTGGGTAAACACCGAGCTCGTGATAGCGAGACCACGTTCAGTAGCGAGAAGATGCATCAGCATCCAAAGATGTCCCTAAGTGGTGGCATGGAACTTCGTGTAGATTTGCGACAGCGGAGAGGATTTAATAAGACACTGTGCTGAATACTTTAAATCTAAAGAGGACACGCCCAGACTGTCCTGACCGTGTCACGGAGAGAACACAGACAGTTCACCCACCTACACTTAGAAAATGCAGAAACAGATGGACAACCATCCTATGGCAAAGGTAGGAATGGGGACCATGGGAACAGGACTCTGCGGGTTTTAAAGTTGCTGCTGACCCTGGTTGAGAGTAAAGTAGTAAAAGCCAGCTTCCAGGCTGAGGTCCTGATGACTCAGTCAGAAGACAAAAGCCACCTCAGAGAGCCCTAAGCCAGGGCACCCTCCCCTACCAACTCCGGTGACTCCAAAGTCTGCCTAGGCGGGTAACTATGGAGACAAATGGCCACACCTCACCCCCGGCTTCTGAGAGACACGAACGAGCAGCATTTTAAATGTACAGGTGTGAGGGCGAGGTCTGTAATCCCAGAGACTTGGATGCTGAGGCAAAATGATTGCAAGTTCGAGGCCTGCCTAGGGAACTGGGAAATCCTGTCTCAAGAGAAAAAAGGAAGAACAAACAAACAAACAAGAGGGATGAAGACACAGCACACCAGCTCAGCAAGCTCTGGTTTTAAACTTCACTTCCACCAAGAAATAAAAAGCAAGGAATTGACACAGCAAACCCACTGGAGCCCGATTAAAACAGCTTTCCCCACGTGTATCCGCGGAGTGCTACACAGCTCACCGTATGGATTGTTACCGTACTACCAGTCTGAGAGGGACAGAGAGCTGGCTTGGCATTTCCCTGGTGTCACATGTACCCGCGGGCAGGACAAGGCACAGATTTAGGTAAAACGGGGGATGAAGCGAGCATCACAATCTAGCTAGCTGACAACGAGAGCTGCCATTCTCCCAGGGCTCTGGAAGCCTAAGTAGGGAATGGAGCTGACAGAGGGCTGAGCTGCCGTTTAGAGTGTAGAGGAGGAACATTTCCACCTTCATGGGGTTTCTGGTCACTCACGACCTGGGCTTTCCTTGACTGCAAGAGTATTCCTCCAGGCTCAAGCTCTCTGTGTTCTCCCTGTGGGCAATGTGTGTACCTCTGTCTCCTATAAAGCAATAGAATCTCACCAACTACTGATGGACCCCATTTCTGGATAAGGACCCACTC